TCCTGGATATCCCTGTACACTGTATATCCTGTACATTCCTGTACAACCCTGTACACTGTATATCCTGTACATTCCTGGATATCCCTGTACCTGCTATATGCTGTATAGTCCTGTAAATCCCTGTACCCTGAAACCTGAGGTTCAATGGTACTGCTTGATGCAAAGCCCTTCCTGGGGTCTCCTGGCTTTGGGACAACATTGATGGCCCCAAAAATGTTGAATTTAAAGATGCTCCTCAGCACTCCTGGTCAGCAAAGCCTCATCTGGTCAACCCCTCATTCCCTGTTGGTAACTTCCAGTTGTTCCCTGCAAAGTGAGCCCAGAACTGTCCAGAGCTCCCAGTCTCTTTGCCTGCCTAAAAGGCTCTTTGCTCTCTGTCCTGCTCTTTGCTGCTGTTGCTCTGGGATGTCAGGGAGCAGCATCTGCTGAGTCCTGTTTTGGGCTGAGTGGTTCTCTGTCTGCTGCAGAGACCTGTGAACTCTCTGGAGTTCCAGGCCAGTGACCAAAGTTGTAGCAAGGATTTGGCCTTATCAAAGAATCACAGAATGTTCCGAGCTGGAAGGGACCCACAAGGATCATCCAGTCCAACTCCTGGCCCTGCCCAGACACCCCAACAATCCCACCCTGTCCCCCAGAGCATCATCCAAACCCTCCTGGAGCTCTGGCAGCCTTGGGGCTGTGCCCACTGCCCTGGGGAGCCTGGTCAGTGCCCAACCAGCCTCTGGGGGAAGAACCTTTGCCTGAGATCCAACCTGAGCCTGCCCTGACACAGCTCCAGCCATTCCCTGGCTGCTGTCCCTGCTCCCCCCAGAGCAGAGCTCAGTCCCTGCCCAGGCAGGAGCTGCAGACCCTGGTGAGCTCTGACCTCAGTCTCCTCCAGCTGAACAAACCAAGTGCCCTCAGCCCCTCCTCACACTTCTGGCTTCCTCTCCACACCCTTCCCCATCTTTGTGGCTATCCTTTGGATGCTCTCCAATAGCTTTAGATCCTTCTTATATTGTGGTGCCCAAAACTGCACCATCAAAACTGCAACCAAACATCAGCAAAATATGTAAAGAGCCCTGACCCCACTGAGTTGCTGGGATGTCAGTGCACCCTTGCTTTAGGCATTTTATCAGCAGTTTTTAATTTCTGAGAGAGATTAGTGTAGCAATAACCTTCTTCACAAGTTCAGCCTCCCTGCATCCAGCCCCTGCTTGGCTCTAGACACCACTCCCGGAGCTGCTACACCTTGGGCTGGAGTTCTTGGTGGCATCCCTGCAGGATGACTCTCCTCAGCATCAGCCTGGATTGCTGAAGAGCTGGACTGTGACAAGACAGCCCCAGGACTGTGGCATTGGCAGGTAGAAAGAAACCAGCACGTGGTTTTCTTAACTCTTCTTCCTGTGCTTCCTCATCCTCCTGAAATGATTCACTTTATTCTTGTCACCACCCATCAGTTCCAGCCACTGCAAATTCCAGCTGCAGAAAAAGACTCGATATTCTTCTTGCTCTGGGAGATTAATCTTACTGAGGAAATGGTTCTGGAATTACACCTGCTTAATTAAAAGTAGCTGCCTGATGCGAGATCAGTCTAACACAGACATTTTTGGCAAGGACGTGTGTCCAGTTTCCTCTCTCGCACTTCTGGAGAAAGTGGGTTTTCTGTACACCACTGCTTCTGACCTGGAGCAATTAGTGTGGGGCTCCAACAGACTCTGAACCCAAACTTCATCTGGTGTCTGTCTGGAATAGCCAGGAGTGAAATCACGCTGGTCCATCAGAAATCCTCATGGTTCCTGTCAGCTGCTTTTGCCTGTGGGATTCATCCCACTCAGTGCAGGTGCCTCCAAGGGAGTCACTCATGGCTGTGGGCTTTGGAGCTCACCCTAAAGGAGGGACCCAAAACAGCTGCCTCACATCCTAAAAATCCTGTTTCCTTTCTTGGATCTCAAGGCTCAACTCACTGGTTTGGTTGTAGATGTCTGAGGATCCCAGAATCACAGAACCTTTAAGATTGGAAAAGACCTTCAAGATCATCAAGTCCAACTGACTGTCTCCTTGATAGGCAGTTTCAATTGGGATAAATTAATCCCATCCTGAGCACCCATGATGAAAATCATTTCCTCTGTTACTCTTCAACATAGAATATCCACTCAACATTCTTTCTGCATTCAATATTGATCCTCCTGGGCTTGTCCACCTCTCCCACACAAAGCCTCTGAGAACAGGAGACCCAGCTCCTCACCTGGGACGTGTCCCCTCAGTCTGAGTCACTCAGCCCAGACACTGGGCCCTGCCTGTGCCACCCCTCTGTCCCAAACTGCTTTGTGACATCGGGGTCTTGCTCAGGTCCTTTGCACTGAGGCTTTGGGAGCATTGCTAAGCTGCTGGATCTGGCAATGCTGAATTTTAGGGGTTGACTTAAAGATCTTAGAGGTCTTTTCCAGCCTTAATGATCCTATGGATTCTCTGATTCCATGGATGGTTTTCATGCCCTTGAGTCACTGGTCCATGGGCTGTCCAGGCTGTCTGAACATCCCAGGTGGAGATCTTCCTTCCCTTCTCCCCTTGGGTCATTACAGGACCACATTCTTCCTGCAGTGTGTTTATAAAGTCCTGCTCATTTTCAGGTGTTAAACCCCAGATAATGATCCCAGTCTGAGCCAGTGCAGGGAGTTACTGTGACACCACTGAGGGGGAACAGGCAGCAGGATTAGTGTGAGTGTGTGACCACCGGAGTAGAGCAAGGAGAGAGAAGCACTGTAAGGAAAACAGGGAAGAGAACAGAGAAGAGGGGAGTAAGGGAAGAAAGAAAGGGATGCGATAAAGAAATGCACCGAACCATTCAAATTCATCAAAGCAAATGTGTTAGTTCTCCTGTTTGCTGAAGCAGGTCATGAATTATGTTCAGCAAACAGACAAACACAGTAACTAAAGGCACATTAGTTCTCTCATTTCTGTTTGTGAATGTGTATTGGAAGAGGAACATGATAGGAAAAGTAATGAATATGTGATATTTTTCTCTTTGAAATTAATAGCTGTGTATTTCACTGGAGATCACCTGCCTCAGTCTGGCCTGTTGTGTGCAGGAGCAGGAGCCCTCACAGTTCAACTGCAGCTCAGCTTCAGCTCAGCCTCCACTGCTCCACCACAGCAGGGTTATAAAAGTTGTTTCCATGGAAAAGGAAACTGAGACCCAGAAATGCTCAGGGTTGTACCTGTGGGGAGTGAGCTGGGGACAAGTCACAGATGGTGTCCCCAGGGCTCAGTGTTGAGCCCAGGCCTGTTTGACATCTTCCTCAATGACCTGGAGGAGAGAATTCGGTGCTCCCTCAGTCACTTCTCAGATCACACCGAGTTGGGTGGGAGTGTGGATCTGCTGGAGGGCAGGAGGGCTCTGACAGGGATCTGGACAGGCTGGATCCAAGGGCCCAGGCCAGAGGTGTGAGGGACAACAAGGTCAAGTGTTGGGTCCTGCCCTTGGGTCAGCACAACCCCATGGAACGCTCCAGGCTGGGGCAGAGGGGCTGGAAAGCTGGAAAAGGCCCTGGGGGTGCTGGTCAATTGAAAAGGTTGTCCAGCCCTGGCACAGCTGCCCCAGGCAGGGGTGGAGTCCCCATCCCTGGGGGGATTTAAAAGTAGTGTAAATGTGACACTTGGGGATGTGGTTTAGTGGTGGCCTTGGCAGTGCTGGCCATCCCAGTTGAACTTGATGATCTTGAAAGTCTTTTCCAACCTAAATAATTCTTTAATTCTGTGACTCCTTTCACTTCATTTTACCCATTTAGCAACTCAGCAGGTAGGTCAGACTATTTGCTCACACCTTTTTGTGGTCTCTGGAAAATATAAGGTCCTTTAATGAGTCTTGCTTGAGTCTCTCTGTGCAGGACTATGGGAAATATTTCTGATGCAGAGATGAAACACACTCAGGCTGCTGAACAAATACGATTTCCAAGCCACTAAAACATCTTTGCCTCCACATCAGCTCAAGGAAGACAAGGCCCTGCAGAGCTGTGTTTCTGTAACAGGTGACTGGGACCATGTGGAGGTTCAGAAGGTTCTGAGGGGGAGAGGACACACAAAGCTGAGATGAACCAGCTGTGGATGGTTGAGGAATCCAGGATGAGGAGGAAAATGCAAAGAACAGCAAACTGATGTGTCAGGATCACCTCCTGGCTCTGAAACAGGAAGAGGTGGTGGGAAGCATCGACCTGATGGCTTTTTCTGCCTCCTCTGGGCCATGGATCAGCCTCTCCAGAGACTGACTCCACCTTGTCTTATTGGAATATCAGCCTGTGGAGGCTCTTCTGTCTTGAATAGCAAAGCAAACAGCTGCATCTCCCTGCCCCAGCAGAGGCTTTCCAGGTGCTGACAGTGGAAGGCCAGCAGGGCAGACACGTCCTTGCAGCTCATCCAGAAGGGCAGGTGAGGATGGGGGAGGAAGGCAGGACACCCGTGAGCACCTACAGCCTCTCAAAGCTCCAGGTGAAAACCAACCACTCACCTTTCTGTGTCTTTAACATGATCTTCATAACTGGGAGAGCTGGGGGGGTTCAGCTGGAGGAGAGAAGGTCCAGGGAGAGCTGAGAGCCCCTTGCAGGGCCTAAAGGGGCTTCAGGAGAGCTGGAGAGGGACTGGGGACAAGGGATGGAGGGACAGGATACAGGGAATGGCTTCCCACTGCCAGAGGGCAGGATAGATGGGAGATTGGAAGGAATCCTTCCCTGGGAGGGTGGGGAGGCCCTGGCCCAGGTTGCCCAGAGAAGCTGTGGCTGCCCCTGGATCCCTGGAAGTGTCCAAGGCCAGGTTGGATGGGGCTTGGAGTAACCTGGGCTGGTGGAAGGTGTCCCTGCCCATGGCAGGGTATGGGACTGGATGGTCTTTAAGGTCCCTTCCAACCCCAACAATTCCATGATTCCATGACTCTGTGATGTGTCTTGGATGCAGCCAAGGGTCACCACACCACTGCTGCTGCATCACAGAGGCTTCCAAGTGGAGTGAATTGGCAGTCAAGAGCCAGTGGATGTGTCCAGGGATTCAGCACTTTGGGCTTGCAAAACAATCCCAGAGAGCACCAGAGGGATGGGAAGGAGGAAGGCAATGAAGAATGAGGTAAAAACCATGAGAAGAGCAAGGACACAGAGGAGAACAAGGGAAAATGCAGAGGGGAGAGAGGAGGAGACCTGCAGAAGGCAGAGCAGCTTTGCCTCTCTGGCTGCACGAGGTGTGTGGGAGGATGAGTGATGGGCCATGGGATGGGAATGCAGGGGCTTAATGCAAAGCTGAGATGCAAATACAATAATGGCAAGAGTTAAAGGGAAAATAGAGTTTTTCATGTAAAACTGATGTTTCTTCATAAACCTTTATTTATCTTAAAAAATGAAGAGCAATCTCTGAGCCATGTAAGAGCATTTATCACCCAGGAAGGTGAAGGCAGCAGAACGTGCAGATTCCTGGCTGGGTTATTCATACAAATCACAACCAGATTAGTACTGAGCCCACCTAATGTGGTAGTTCCACAATCCCAAACAAGCATTAGCCTTGCACTTGTTTTAAAAATGAGCATCTCCCGAAGTCCTGATGCCCTACAGGGCTGCAGGGGAAAAAATTCCATCTTATGGCCTGTCAGGCTTTGGGGACTGTTGGAAACGGGGATATATATCTATATATATTTAAGACATAAAGTAAGAGTGTGTGTGATTAAGAATTTGGGTGGTTCTGTGCTATAATTCTGGTGGCTTTTAAGCCTCTCCTTGTCAGTGATACTGGATGAGGGTGGATAGAGAAGTTGCCTGTATGGAATACAAAGAATAAAATTACTTCTCCTGCCTGACCCATGTCTCTGCCTTGTCCAATTTTCTATATTCCCCCACTAGCTCAAGTTTTTGAGCTGTCCTTCAGGCCCCAGCTAGGGATTACCTGTCTCTGCCAACAGCTGTAAAACAGGTGTCTGATGCCTCCTCAAAAAATTTCAACAAACCAGGGGAATAACAGAAAGAAAGAAAGAAAGAAAAAAGCCCAATAATATTTTACTAACCCATTTTCAAGGTCGCAAAGTCAAGCACTCCAAAATTAGGAAGTGTCAGATTTAAGATGCCTGTAAAATCTTCATTTAGCCTTGCTGTGTGTGTGCATTCTAATTCACTCTTAAATATGTGATCACTTGTGCTCTGCAGGCAGAATCCTGCTCGTTCAGGGCTCAGAATAGACTTGCTCTCTGAAAGAGCAGCTCTTCAATATTTCATTTGGTCTCATCGTTCAGTGTGTGGCTCCATGCATTATTTACTGCAGACAGCACTGAATACAGAATTATTAATTTCTTACCAGGTTTTTCTCTGGTGCCTCACTGTTCAATCTCCCTTCTTTACAAAATTTAATGAATATATCTTAACAATAGGGCCTAGAGGTGAATCAATACTGATGTTTCATTTTATGGGAGGAAATGATGCACACAATAAGTATTAAAGTCAAAACAATCCAAAGTGTCTCCTGATTTTTGGTGTACATTTTGATTGTCTGACACGACTTCCTTGAGCACTTCCATGTTTTTAGTTATTTATATTTCCAGAACATGTATTTCTATATATGTGTGGTTACTACCTTTGCCTTTTCAGACCTGCACAGACCTAATCTCACTCACCGCAGGGGCTCACAGTCAGCAGAGAGGAAGGTGATAGACCCAGGGGGGTTTAGTGCAGGATTCACCTCACCTTAAAATAGATATCAAACCCAGATCTGATTATCTTGCCCTTAACATGTTGCTTCTCTCCCTGTAGAATGAGGGAGCCCAAGGCAAATAATGAGTTAGGCAGCTAATTTTGGATTCACTGGCAGAGGTGAATCCCAGTCTTCCAGAAAATAAATAAGCAAAAAATCCTGAGAGACTCTGCAGCCTTATTTTTGCAGAAGTTGGATGAGGGAGGAAGAGAGACAATGGGTATTTTGGGGCTGTGGTGGGGGATTGTTACTGTGAAGGGCCTCACTCAGCTCCTGCTCCCATCACAATAACCCCAGACCATGGTCAGGGCTCCATCCTCAACCTTTTCACCTCCTGAGATGGAAGGGACCCACAAGGATCATCAGTTCCAACCTCTGGCTCTGCTCAGGACCCCCCAACAATCCCACCACGTGTCTGAAAGGCTCCAGATGCTTTTGTTGAGCTTTTCCAGTGCCCACCTTCTCTGGCAGTCACCTCCCGCTTTAGGCACCTTCCATCAGCTTTGTCTTCACTTGGTCTCTTCAGGATCCCTTCTCAGCCAGGGACAAGTGGATTGAGCCAATTCCACTTCAGTTCTGTCTTTGGAGACCACGTGCCTCTGCTCCATGGGGTAGTTTGTTGTATTTTGGCAATGAAACGAGAGAAGTAGTACAGAGAAAATAGGAAATACCTCCATAGGGAGGCTCCTGAGACCTCCCAGAGTGGGTGTTATGGAAACAATTGGCTGGTTTGGAGTGGGGAATCCAAGGATGTACCAGTGAGTGAGGGCAGATAAATCTCAGCTGAAGGGTTATTTCCACAAAGTCAAAGTCTCTGGCAGGCGAGAATATTTTCAGCTGAAAGAAATATTTACTTCCCAAGTAATTGCTTGTGACTCACTTATTATAAACTTACATTTCTCTTTTATAGTGCAATATATATATATATATAGTATGAAACAGAGTGGTTTATTTACCACTTAGGGTGGTTTCTTATTCTCCCCTACAAGCTGTGCTGCACACAGCATGAGATTCTTCAGCCCTCCAAAGACAGTGAAAAAAACCATTAAAATTCATTTCTGATGAACTGAATAATTTTTGGATCATTCAACTGTCATGGTTTGAGAAAGAAATCTTGTTTGGAAAGAAATCTTGTGCAGCAGGAATGCTGGAGAGTTTGTACCCAACTTGTGGTTCGGGGTTCATGTGATTCTGCAATATTTCATATTTCACTCGAAACAAACCTCCCTTATAACACTCAGATCCCAAATGAGATAAAACAGGAGGTGAAATAGAAGAATTTCCACTGGGCAGAAATTGCAGGTGCTGCTGGAAGAAAAGGCAGTGCCAGATTTTAGGTGGCACAACCCTGGTTCACTCCAGTGGCAACAAACCTGGCACTGCCCCGGAACGAAAGGGAACAAGATCTGAGGAGAAAAGTCACAGTGTGGGAAAGAAAAACACAGGGACCATCTCGGGCTCAGGGTTAAGGCTGAGGGAGGACATAACTGTGGCCTTGAAGTGCCTGAAGGGCACTGGATGAGATGGAGAGAGACTGTCTACAAGGGCCTGGAGGGACAGGACACAGGGAATGGCTTCCCACTGCCAGAGAACACGGTGAGATGGGATACTGGGAAGGAATCCTTCCCTGTGAGGGTGGGAAGGCCCTGGCCCAGGTTGCCCAGAGAAGCTGTGGCTGCCCCTGGATCCCTGGAAGTGTCCAAGGCCAGGTTGGACGGGGCTTGGAGCAACCTGGGCTGGTGGGAGGTGTCCCTGCCCATGGCAGGGGGTGGGATGGGATGGGCTTCAAAGTCCCTTCCCACCCAAACCATCCTGTCCTTCCATGGTTCCAAGCAGTGACTGAGGTGTTTGGTTGTGTTTAGTGCCTGACACCTCTCTCCAAATCCAGACATTTCCTTCCTCTCTGCACCTTGGGTTGGAACCAACTTTCTATTTCCTGAACAGTCTCTGATATGCAGAGTGGTTTGCAGTGTTTTGGCAGAGAGCAATCACCCCATGTCCCAGGCCAGGCCAGAGCTGCTCCAGGAGCTGGGAGCACTTCAGAGACCCCCACGAGCCTGGGACAGCCCCCAACCCACCCCAGCCCCAGGTGCAGGCAGTGCTGGGTGCTCAGTGGGGCAGAAAGCAGCCCTTGGAGGGGTTTGCAGGTGGTAAGAAGGTGTAAGATTCTGTGATCTTGCTGAAGCACATCCATGTGCTCAAGAGGACTGAGACAATGTTATAGAGAATAATTCCCCAGTTCTGGCATTTTCTGAGCACTCTGTGCTGGAATGAGCTATGTCAGCATTCCTTGAAGGTGACATTTTGATATAAAATAAGTTGCTTTTGGCTTGAAAGGACTATTATGGTATTTAAACTGATTTTATGGACTGAGAGACTTTTCCCTGGTAGCTGTGGAATGAGCCTGAGAACTTGTGTTTAACCAAAGCATCTATGGAACAGTATCCAGATTTTGATGTGGTGGGGTCTGCACTTCTGGCCCATCAGGAGGCTCTTCCAGTTGTTAATACTTCTATTTCTAACTTAAATATGTGCTTCTTTACCATCAGGCTGATGGTCACTTCCTCTGGTACTTTGCAGAGCATGTTTCCATTTCCTTCCCTCCCAGGCTGTTTACAGACCACAGAAAAAGTCGTTTTTCAGCCTTGTCTATTCTTTTTTTTGATAGTCAGAATGTATTGAATTCCTTCTGTGTTTCATAAAAAACTCATTTCCCAGCCTTCAAATAATTGTATTGCTGTTCACTGTTCTATCCTCAATTTTTCACTTGACTAAATGCACTATTCCAACATTAATCCCACCATTGCCTTGTAAGATGTAAAATAACCAACTAATCCTGTGTTTATCTCTTTGTGGATAACACACCAATCTTTTTGTCATTGCACTGGGTAGATCACATTGAAATCTTGTATTTTGAGTGGGAAAGCGGTCATTTTGGGGTAGAGAGCTAGCACAGAGGGTTATACCCTTTGCCAAGGGCCACCTCACAAAACAGTTGCTGGTGGAGGAATAGTGGGTCTGTCCTGATGTTGTAGAGGGTTGTCACAGGTCCCTGTCTTCTCTTCATGCTTGCCAAAATATTCACTGTATCTCTCTGTATCTGTCCCTACTTCATCCTGCTGAGCTCCTGAGTAATGAACTCAAACAGACCTGCCCCTGGGAGAGGTTTGGAGGCAGCAATGCCAGAAGTGTCTCGGTGTCACCAGGGCAGTCCCAGCCCAGATCACCAGATCGTGTGCAGGGCTTTAATGGACAGTTTGTGTTGCACATTTCTCTCTTGATTTAGAAGTTCTCCCTCACTGGGAATTCTTGTGGGAGATAAAAGGACCAAATGATCAGCAGATACTGAACTTCTTTAATGCCCCCATAATTCAGCATAAGAGCTTCCATTGATCTGCTCCTTGGTTCTGTCAGGCTGAAACCAGAATTTGGCTCAAAGGGCCAAATCCTCTTGTCTTCTTAGTTAGTGGTTGAGAAGGTCCTTGATGTTCTCCTTTCACACCATGTGTCCTTCACACACCACATGACATTGTCCAGTACTCCAAAACAAGAGAAAAAAAGCCACTGCTAGTTTGGACTCCAGGAGGAGATGAGGGAAGGTGAGAGCACTGATTAAACTGGTGAACTCTTGTGAGTATTTTCTTATGATCCTTAGTTGAGAACTACATCCTACAGATCAGGAGAAAAGGGAAAAGGCAACCCAAGAGTGCCCAGAGTTATTATTTCAGGAAAGATTCCAACAAAGCAGATTCTTACCCTGAGCCTCAGCAACAAATGCTGAGCTTCTATTTCCAAGTTGTTATTGCTGCTCTAAGTGCAGTCTCAGAGGAGGTTTTACTGCCAAACTTAGCACATGCCTCTCTTTGCTCAACCTCCAGTACATCAGAGGAAGGAAAGGAGCCAGGTTATGAAAGAAGACAAGAACTTGTCAGGAAACTTGAAGCAGAAGATTCAAACAATAAAGGTTAGTCCATCACAGCTGGTGGAGATCCTTTCTCTGTAGTGAGGAATCCCATTATTCTCTGTGGAATCCCAGCTGCTCCTGAAGGAGATGAGAGCATCCCAAATAGATTGGACTCAAATGCCTTGATCTAAAGCTTTTTCAACTCCATATTATGAAAACCATTGAAGGCAGTTTGCAGGCTGTTGTATCCTCTTGGAGGACGTGTCTCCAAGCAGATTTTTCCCTCAAGGGATCTGTGAAGGACCTGCTGGAGATCCCCAAAGCTTTGCTGTCAGTAAAGTGTGATCAGCAAGACATTTTCCTGGGTGTTTTGCCCCCTGTTTTCATGCAGACAAATCCCCTTCCTGCTGGGCACAGCTCTGGTTAAACTAAACTCCTCAGCTGGTTGGATTACAGGCATTTTGTTCACCAAAACAGAGTGTTCTTGGTACCAACCCTTGGTTCTTGTAGGCTTGGTTTGGACAGTGCAGACAAGTAAACCTGCTCTGAAGAGCATCATCTGCTGTCAGTGATCATCCCCTACAAGGAGCTGAGTGTTTCTGAAGGGTCTGACAGGGAGGGCTCTCTGTGCCAGTGGGGGTTTGGTGGATGCTGAGGAACAGGGAGAACAGAAGAAGATCACAGAATATGTTGAGCTGGAAGGGACCCACAAGGATCATCGAGTCCAGCCCCTGCCCCTGCCCAGGACACCCCAAGAGTCACCCCCTGTGCCCCAGAGGATCAGCCAAACACTTCTTGAACTCTGGCAGAGGCCCTTGGTTACCTGCAGCTCTGGAACTGCCGAGATGAAGGTGCGATTCCAAGGCCTCAGTGGAGCCTGAACCTGCCCCAGCTCATTTTGAACCCAAGAAGGGTTTCCATCAGGCACAGCCGCTGTGGTAAAATTCATAGAGCATTTCCTGGAGAACCTCCTTCCCCCTTTGTGGTTTGGACCTGTCATTCTGCCTGAGTGTAACTGGCTGTGGAAGAGAAAATGAACAATTATTCCAATTATTCCTTAGTTCATCCCTTCATCTCATGGTCTTGTAGATTCACCCCTTCCCCTTCCTCCATCCAGACACTTTCCCTCAGGATGGAGAATCACAGTGTATGTGGCTTTTTCTTGACTAGAAATCCCTTTCACAGACCTCTGAATCAATCCAATCCCATTTGCTGCCCTTTTCCCTTTTTTTTCCAAGTTCTGGTCCACCCTTTTTGAGTTGAGGACCAGAACCACACCAAGTGGGCAGCAGGTGCCTGCATTTTACATATATTTGCTGCCACATTGTCTTTTGTTGTGCCAATAATTTCTAACATTTTTTTTCACTAGTTTAATTCACTAAGCTAATTTTAGTTAATTCAACTCCGTGAATGTTGATAATTTAATTACCACCCTGTGTTTTCTATGTTTTAAACAATTATTTTTTCATGGGAGGACCTCCCCTCTCATTCCATTCCTTATCTTCGTGAAGTTGTTTGTGGTTTTTTTTTTTTTTTTTTTTGGTTTGGTGATTTTTTTTGGTGAAGGACTTTCTAAATTCCTTTAGAAATGCAACTACAATATCAGCTGGATTTCCCTTACCCTCATGTCTATGGGCTCCTTCAAAGAACTACACCAGGCTGTAAATCCTGATTTCCCTTTCCAGAACTGCATGGACTCTTCCCCACTACACTTTATTTATCCACGGATCCTCTTATATTACAATTTCTGTCAATTAACCCGGTACAGATGTGCTGCCACTCTGGATTTTCCTGAACTTTACATTGGATCTTCTTTAAAAATTGAGGCCACACTGATGATTCCATATTGAAGTGTCTTGACATTGAGACATTTTTACATTCCACTTGCACACCAGATTTTAATTCAGCAATTTCGCAGTGGAGTTCCCTGGGTACCCTGGGAAGAACATCCTCTGGTCTGGGGGATTTGTTAATACCTCTCGACACGCTCCATGATCTCCTCCAATATGGGAATGATCCTTTGATGCGGCCCCTTATAAAGACAAAAATTGCTGTGCAGGAGCTCCTTGACCCTGTCATGGAAAAACCAGCTGCAAACATGGGATTAGTTCTCTGCTGTGCACTTATTTATTAAATTTTGATTGCCCTTTTGCATTTCCAGTACCCTTTTTACCTCTGTATAGTCCTGCTCATTTCTCTCGGTCTTCCTAAAGTCCTTTTGGAAATAGGAATTTGCCCACAATGCCAGGGTGATCTCTCTGATTTCTCCACCATAGACAAGGACTTAACTCTTCCAACCATTCCTTTTATTTTATTTTATTTTTATTCCTTTTCATTTTATTCTCTTTTTTAAACAAAATACAAAACAAGAAATAATTTTCATTCAGTGATTTAGTGCCCATTTTTGAAGTTAAACACATCACAATGGTTTTCTTTATTTTTTTATTCCACAGGTGCTGAATATCAGCACTTTTTGATGACTATTGTAGCAGGTTCCTACAGAACCTTTCAGCTGGGTGCTGTGCATTGGCTGCACTGGATGCAGCCAAGCTGACAATTCATTTTCCTCTTGCAGTTCCTCTGACTGATTTTTCCATTTTTTTGGGGCATCGTGAATGTGCTTTTCATCCCACACACCTGAGTACATAAAGCTGGGAGAGAGGGTTACCAATATAGTGGTTTCTTGGTTTCTGTGAGTCTGATTCCCCTTCCTGTAAGGCTGAATTGGAACACCAAGAAAACGACCTCATGTTTCCCATGGCAAGACAAGCTTGTGGCTGAGAAAGAATCAGGGCCTGGGACATGTGGGAATTGTCACTGGCAAATAGGTCCTACTTTTCCCTGACCTAGGAAAGCTCAAACCAGCAGCCCTGGCCAAAGAAAAGTGCAGGAAGGAGGTACAAGTCCACAAGTCCTTGTCTGATTCCATTTCTGACATCAAATCCTTCTCATATAAATCCTTTTTCCATTACATGAGCTTTACTGTTACAACCAGGGCCACAGAAATATTTGTCAGCACAGCTCAGTTTGCCACGTTCAGCACAGAATATACAGGGAACAAGAAATGCAATCACCAAGGAACAACCCAACCCTTCCAGCTCCCCCTCCCCAGTGCAGTGCCAAGGTGGGTCACAGCAACTCCTATTGCCTGGTTCATTTATTACTCCAGCCTGACCCATATTCTGCTTTACAAGCTGTCCTAAATTTTTTTCACCTTAAAATAATTTAAGTTTCTTGCCTCTACTGCACTATTTGGAAAGTCATACCAGGATATAATTCCATAATAGTTTTTTTGGTTTTTTTTCTGCCTTACAGTCTAAATTTATTCATGACCAAGTTGATCTTATTCCAGCATCATCCTCTAACTTACATATTCTTTTTTTGTACTTGTTATTTACTCACTCAGTGTATTTTAAGGAGCCATCATATTGACTCTGAGACATTATTTTGCTGGTTTAAATAGGTCTGGGAGCTTCTGAAATCATTGCAGCCTGAGCCAGGCCAGTGTGAGAGCTCCTTCCTCAGCACTGGGATTATCCTGTGCCTGTGTTAGGGCAGTGAACACACACCAGCCACAGGACCAACAGTCTGAGGAACAGCAAATCCATACCAGGTCTTCATTATCCTCGAGCATCCTCCAGCTCTGCATTAATGTGACCCACTCTGGCTGACCCTCTGTTTTATAATTCTATCAAAAAAGGACTTGATGGCACTTAATTGATCTGTTTTCTTGTGCAAATGAAGTGTCATTATGTGTGCTGTGATTTCCAGTGAGAGAGGCAGAGCCCCACTGGCACTGAGCATCCCCACACAGTCCTTGAGCCATCGGGTGCTAAAGGGACATAAAAGGAGTTGTTACCCCTGTGGGGTGATTTCAGGTGACACATCCCCACCGGAGCCTTAAAGTTGGAAAAAACCTTTAAGATCATCGAGTGAGTGCAACTGTTCCCAGCACTGCCAAGGCCACCACTAACACATGTCCCCAAGGGCCACACCCACATGTGTGACCCCACCACCCCCCTGGGCAGCTGTGCCAGGGCCTGACCACCCTTTCCATGAAGGAATTTTCCCCAACACCCAACCTGACCCTCCCCTGGCACAGCTGGAGGCCGTTCCCTCTCCTGCTGTCCCTTGTTCCCTGGGAGCAGAGCCCGACCCCCCCCGGCTCCCCCCTCCTGTCAGGGAGTTGCAGAGCCAGAAGGTCCCCCCTGAGCCTCCTTTGCTCCAGGCTGAGCCCCCCCAGCTCCCTCAGCTCCTCATCAGACTTGTGCTCCAGCACATTTTGTGCAGCACTGACCATCTCCCACGTGGCACCTTCAGCTGTCGTTCTTCCAGATGGAAAATTTACTTTCCATCATCCCCCTTCCCTTGGTGGAGGAGGTTTTGTTTGTCTGGTTTTTGGGGTATTCATTTTAAGTTCTGCTCAAAACTCTGTGAACGAATGCTGGAAGAGCTGGAGTCTTTCAAGGGACCACATGGAACAAACCCACATTCTCTCTTTCCCACTTTTCTCAGCCATTCCCAGCTCTGTGGCTGCACTGACACCTCTTGAGCCCTGACCCTGGCACAAAACACTCGATACCTTGAAGGTGGTTGGCAGGTGAGTTTGTCTTGCACAGATACCAGCACTGACCCATCCAGTGAATTCCTGGATTTTAGTTCCATGAACACCAAACCCACCTTCAGCCAGCCTGGAATCTGCTCCAGATCAGACCTGAATCACAGCGTGGCCTTCACCCTCTCTCCTCCCAGGAACTGCCAAGCAGGGGGGCAAAAGGAGTCACCAACTCCCTCCCCAAGCAGCCCAAGTCCATTCTGGGGAGTTTTCCCAGTGTTTAAAATACCAAGGACAGATTCCTACCCTCCCCTTGATCTCGTCCCTCACTGCATGGTGACCCCCATGCCCTTCCCTGCTGCAGGATCCTAAACCTGAGACATGGCTCTGCTGCCCTTGTACTTGAGCCCAAACAACTCACGGAGCTGTAAGTCCCTCTAACATTTCATTTATTGCTCTAAAGCTACCAGGGAGCTGAGTGCATCTCTGAGTGCTCAGGAATCCTCTGTGTCCTGGGAGACAGCGTTTCCAGTGAATGCCTTTGTGCCTCTGCAAGGCTGGGAATGAGCTCAGCCTGCAGCCTGAGCTGTGCTTACACTTCAGGCTCAAAGCACCGCACAAATTAAGCAGGAAAATGGGATTTTGATACCACCTGCAAGAAGAGGTTCTCTGAATTCCTAATTTGTGTGAAGTCTTAATGGCCTTTCTTTTTCCATTCCTATCATCTCTCCCCTCCTCTCCTTCCCCCCCTCCCCTGCACACCAGTGTGGATGGGAGGCCGTCCGTGGGGTGGAATTATTTATGAGAGCTCTGCAAATGTAGATGTACTGTTTCCAGCTAATAGAGCTCAAATCACTTGCACTGCACCATTAGAGAGGAAACCTACCCGAGTAAATTATATACAGGCCATAAATGGAAGCAGTTGTAGTGTTTTTATGGCTCTATAAAACTCTGGAAGTTTATTGCTATTGAACAAACATGTAATCTGATTCTCAAAGCTGAATATGAGACCCCAGTAGGGTCCAAAACCTGCATTTACCTTCAGACCTCTCACCATGTTGGTCACATCGTGGAAATTGTGTTTCAATGGCAGGTTTTGAGAACCACTGAATCCATTTGAGAACCATTAAACCCAGGACTCCTGTCTAGAAGATATCCCAGCTCGGCCAAACATAGGGAAATACAAGAATTCAGTGGAACAAAGCAGTGGCTTCAGTTTAATATTCTCTTTGTCTACAAAGAGGCCTTAGGAGGACTTCAATAAAGAGCTGAAAAGCAAAGATGTTTTGGACTTCTTAAACTCAGTGTTCTGCTGCCTGTGGAAAATGAATGTATAATGTTTTTTTCTATTTAATGAAGAAGATTCAGATAAAATATTGCAAAAACAAACAAACCCAGGCCAAGATGGAATATTTAACACTGGGTTGCTGACCTGATTTGCCAGGATTTGTAAGCCATAGGCCATACAAGGGATTTTTCTAAGGGCTGGTGAGATCCCTCTGAACAAACACATGAGCTCAGATGAGCTCTGAGCTGAGCTCTGCCCTGCAGGGATTAGTGGGACAGCACTTCTGTGGGGGCAGGACACGGGTGTGATCAAAGCTCTGATCCAGGATTCCTTTCTTCCTTGCCTCTGCCCCTTATTGTTATTTTTACTCTCCCTGTTTCCATTTGAAGCCAGCCCGGCCTTTCAGGGCTTGAGTGAGCACAGAAATGTTTGAACTGCTCCAGGTCTGTGTTCTTTCCCTCTTTTTCAGGGACATTCAGGGCCTGTGACACGGGGTTTGTTCTCATGGCCTGTGGTTTCCTGGCAGCAACACTGTCCCTTGGAGCAGAGGGAGCATGGACAACTCCCAGGGAGCATCTCCCAAGGGTCACAGTGACCCTGGGCTGCACAGGCTCCCTGTCCCCTCGGAGAGACCCTTTGGCACTGGGACATTTTACTTCACCCATTTCTCTGGGCTCAGTGGGCCTGGGGTTTGCAGATGTTTGGGCAGGTCAAGGCACACGGAGCCAGGGGATGAAAGTTTATCCTGCAGGAATGATCTCAAACCCTTGGTAGGGAAGGATGGAGAACGGAAGGGGTAGAAACAGCCCTCTGGTGAGGAGCTGCACTTCTCCAGTGTCAGGGATGGAGGGGGGGTTGGAACATCTGAACCCTTCACCTCATTAGTTACTTCTGCCAGTTGGGAAGGGCAGGGATGGCTTGAATTCAGTCTTGGGATGGCAGGAATATTCCAGAGCTTCTCTAGGTGAGTACTTGGCAAAGCTGAAGGTCTGCACAAAGTGTGGGAGTGCACGGGGTGGTGTGGGTGCTAGAAGGGTCTGGAGTGGGAAGCTCTAAGGGTTGTGGTGTAGCTCTTGCACCTCCACGTGCTGCACATGAAGTGCAGTGAACCTCCTTGAGACCACGGGTGGCTCTGATCAGTCCTGACATGGCTGAAATTAAGTGTCATTTCCTCTGGCCAGTGTTTTTCCTGGCTAAATGCTCAGGTGGATGATATGGAGAGGAAACTTGAAGTGGTTTTGAGATAATTTTATAGATGTGTGATGGTTCCTTGCACTCAGTAAGAGCAAGAGCAGACTCAGGGAGGCCACTTGTGTCTTGATGTGTCTTGATCATTAGATGTGTCTTGAGGAAACTTCCAAGCTCCTGCAAAGCCAGCACTGCTGAGTCAGCAGCTGGAGGGTTAAAATCTCTCCCAAATGAGAAAATTCCAACTCATCAATAGTGACAACAATGTGTAATAATTTAGTAGTAAAAACAGTAATAAAATATTGTGATGCTGGTGGTAAAAGAGAATCAAGAGCAAGAAATGCTGTATTTTTAGCTTGGGGAAATGTGGTTATCAGTGACCACTGATCAGCTCTCCACTATTAGCTGAGGTGCAAAATCATTTCAAGTGTAGCTGTCACCAATAATTAGCCTCAGATGTATCACTGAAGAGAAAGTCCATGTAAGGAATAAGAAAATGGAAAATTCATTCCAGCAAGGCCCCCATTTCCTTCAGTGAGTGTGGTTTGGCAGAGGGCACGAGGGACTCCTTGGACACCAACGTCCTCCCTCACCCCCCCAGCCACGTGTGGGCCATGTGGGCATGATCCCAGCTGCACATCCAGCTGCATTTGGGCAGCAGCTGGAGGACCTTTGAAAGGCTGAGAGAGTTGGGATTGTTCAGCCTGGAGAAGAGAAGCTTTGGGGTGACCTGATTGTGGCCTTGCAGTGCCTGAAGGGGCCAGCGGGAAAGATGGAGAGGGACTTTGGAAAAGGGATGGAGGGACAGGACACAGGGAATGGCTTCAGACTGACAGGGTTAGATGGGATATTGAGAAGGAATTGTTGGCTGTGAGGGTGGGGAGGCCCTGCCCCAGGTTGCCCAGAGAAGCTGTGGCTGCCCCTGGATCCCTGGAAGTGCCCAAGGCCAGGTTGGACGGGGCTTGGAGCAACCTGGGCTAGTGGAAGGTGTCCCTGCCCATGGCAGGGGGTGGGACTGGGTGGGTTTTAAAATCCTTCCAACCCAAACCCTTCCCTGATTCCATGACCTGGGTGCTGCAGTCACTCTGCACGTGGCCAGTTCTACCTGTCAGCTCCCAGTCACACTTCTGTAGTTACATTATTTCCTCACTGAAAAACAAGTTTAATTTTAGGAACATGAGGCATTTTTTTTCTGTTTCCACCACATTATGAGCTGCACGTGGTGGCATCTGTTAAACCTAATGAAACCCACAGCAGGGGAGAAAACAGAGTACCCCACAAAAGGAGAGAGCGGGAGCACAGGCAGATGTAAGGGGCTGAGAGCTCTGGGCCCAGACAATGCAGCCTTTTTTCATCATTTCACTGTGGGGGGGATGAGAGAGGACTGGGATGAACGAGGCCACGTGACTCCTAATTACAAGAGGGATTTTTTTTAGAGGAGCAGATCTTTCCCTAAGGAAATACCTCCAAATAGCAAGGACAGATGATGTGTCCTTGTGCAGGATTAGCAGCAAGGGGAGCGTGGGGAGGTCCCTCTGTGCACCCCTGGGAGCTGAACCACGGCTCAGGCTCAGGGATGCAGGAACCAAAGGCACAGATGGATCAGGGAGAATGAAGGCACTGTGATTCAGGCAGTTTGTGTGGAAAGCAATAAATACAAAAGGTAGAAAGAACAAATGTTTGTTCTCCTGAAAGTAGGACAAGAGGAAGGGAGAGCTGTAGATTGTATGTGGAGCTGAACAAAACCTTCCTAAAGAACAAAACCCATCAGTGCAGGCGGGGACTGAAGGTGCCCACAGATGTCCAGGGAAGAGCCCAGAGTGGGAATTCAGCTGATCCAGGCTGTCAGGCAGGAGAAAAGGCAGCTGCCAGACATTTGCCTTCTGTCAGCAGCTCTGGTACTATGGGGTTGCTGATCACATGGAATTACAAACTCAGGAATGCTGATAAGCAGCACTGTTGGACTGGAGAAAGGCAGCCCCTCTTTGAGGACAGACTGGACACCACTGGGCATCACTGGGCTGCTGAAAATGAGCTCAGAACACCAAGGTTGTGGGTTTGATCCCTGTATGGGCTGTTCAAGTAAGAGCTGGACTTGATAGTCCTTGTGGGTGCCTTCAAACCCAGACTGTTCTGTGAGAAGGAATCTGTGACACAGAAGGTGTCATCACCTGGGAAGGGCAGGAGCTGGCACAGCAGGGCCTGGAGGAGCAGGGCAGTGCAGGACTGGGGGGTTCCTCACAGAGACGGGGAGAGACAACAGGGTTGTTGGGATGTGGGGAGCAGGGAGATGGAATCCAGAACTACATTGTGCAGATGGGTGTTGGAAATGAACCCTATTGCAGCCTGTGGGGCAGCTGGGCACTGGGGAAGGGGACTGGTGGTGAGTCTTTGATTGAAGTCCTTGTTCCACCTGTGGAAATGGTGCAGAGAGAGCAGCAGCCAAGCAGCAGTGAGAGGACATGGGGTGAACTGGGGGGATTGGGAAAAAAATCTTATTAGGAAAAAAATCCTCCCTGTGAGGATGGTGAGGCCCTGAAGGGGCTCCAGGAGAGCTGGAGAGGGACTGGGGACAAGGGATGGAGGGACAGGACAGAGGGAATGGCTTCCCACTGCCAGAGGGCAGGGATAGATGGGAGATTGGGAAGGAATTCCTGGCTGTGAGGGTGGGGAGGCCCTGGCCCAGGTTGCCCAGAGAAGCTGTGGCTGCCCCTGGATCCCTGGAAGTGTCCAAGGCCAGGTTGGACAGGGCTTGGAGCAACCTGGGCTAGTGGGAGGTGTCCTCTGCCCATGGCAGGGGTGGGAATGGATGAGCTTTAATGTCCTTTCCAACCCAAACCATTCCATGATTCTCTGATCAACACAGCTACTGAACCTTTAAGAAACCTGCTGTTCATTTGCTGTGCCAGGGGACCTCTGTGTGGGTAAAGAGAGAGCACAGACTCTCTTCTGGAGAGCAAAGACTCGTGGGAAGGGTGAGATGTCCTGTCAGCTGAGGTTTGTCCATGTGTACCAAGGTGAAACCAGGAGACCAGCCCTTGGTTCTGAAGGAGCTCCTCAGCACCAGAGCCAGGTGTCCTGGTGTTCTCAGGTGCCCAGGCTGCCAGGGTGAGATTCCTGTTGCTGGAGAAGCAAATGACAAGAAAGAGGGTCCCCAGCTCAATCAGCAGTAGGAAGGAGACCAAGCAATGGCTGCAGGTGATGCAGGAGTCCTGCAGGTGATCCCAGTAGTGATCCCTGAGTGCCTGTGTGTGGCAGGAAGGTGTCTCTGGATGCTGGGATTGTAGCCTGGCTGCCTGGAGAGCAGTGGGACTGTCCCAGGGTGCTCTCAGGGGCTGGCAGCACTGTGGAAGGAAGAGGGTGGGAACTGCCTTCAAACCAGGAATGAGGTGAGGGCCAGACCTGTCCACGGCAGATTTCTCCTCACAGCTGGCAGGGTGATGTCTTCCCATGGCCATTCTTTCTGTAGAATGGTCTGAAAGAGGTGATGGTGCAGGACAACACCACATTCAGGAGCTGGACCTAATCCTCGTGGGTCACTTCCAACCCAGAATATTCTGTGATAACCTGCAGTGTCCTTCATCACTGTACCTTGAGGACACAGCCAATCTGTCCCATCCATGACAATCTCAGGGGGTTTGGGGGTGGCAGCTCATGGCCCCACTTTTGCTTTGCTGATGGTGCAGTTTTTATGCTGCTCTTTGGCTCTTTCATCAAAGAGCTCCAGGACAGAAGGCCAGGACTGATGAGAGTCATGGTGACCTTCTGTGGGATACCTGCACTGGCCAGGGGGTCATGCCATTG